TTGCAGCATTTCTACCGCATTTTGCATTTCATCCCTTGGTAAATGTCGTCACTGCATAACGTTATATCAATATTTTTCCGGTCTGTTCTGCGTAAAAAAACGACTAGAATGGAAGAATTTTTGTGAGCCGTGTATTTACACATCGACGTGGTAATTTTACCACGACCTGACACAAGACCGGCGTGAAGTGGAAGTATTTATTATATTTTCGCTTTTCGTCTGGTGAATAAGATAACCGGGGTCCACCTTTTAAAAGGTTGTCAACACATCCACAAACCGTCGGGTGTTGCAGATGTCCATGGGCGGCGGTAATCACTTAACATCAGGAGAACCGCCTGCTCGCTTGCCAACTTTACACATAAAAAAAACTAAAGCATCAATTATTCAAGTTATATTAAGCGAGTAGAAAGTGAACGCGCAATTCCCATTCGTCGTTTTCGTACCTCTGAAAGAAATTTGCAGTTGCAGCTAAGGCACTATTTTTAAATGTGTTCTTCACTTTTTAATTAATTTAATTCTAGACCTTTGTTTTCCTCTCTTGTCGTTTCAATTTTTTTTGGATTTTCGCTTCAAAATCCCTTTGGCTACAAGCGCTCGTTCGTAGTTATTATACGCTGTAAGCAGTATCAGTGTATCAGTTCCATTGCAGTTCGTATAATAATAAAATAAAAGACTTGACAATTTACTTCATCCTGCTACAATGTAGCGTCCGTATTGCTTGCTTTGATTTCCATATAACTTTTGTTGATGATTTCTTTAATTAACTCGAATACAATACTTACCAAATAAACATTTACTTATAAATAGTTGACGATAGACCCATCAAATTACATGAAATATCTATATGTTACTTACTTTAAATATTGAAAGTTAATTTATAAAAATATATTTTTAAATACTGATTATAATATCTAGTGGCTAGGATTATCGATATGCCATCTAAGGTAGCAAAATAATTGATATAGATGGTTTTATACCTTAAAATCTGAAGACGGACATTGTTTGCACTGCAGAAAATTTTATTCTTGGAAGACAAATGATGATTTTTAATTTTAAGCTTTTACCACGTAAGCTACATTCTTGAGGAATGCAAATAAAGAATAATAAAAAGAATTTAATTTCATCTTACGCCTAATACAGTTTTAAGTACTGCGATATTTTAATATACAATTTACTTAAAATTTGTATCTCGTATTATATTTCACATTGGCAAATTGTGACGTACCTTATTTGACCTTTTCAAAACCATAACGATCGTTTTTTATTAACATTATAAAACACAACTGTACAATATATTTCACCAAGCGTCTAATATTTCCGCTTTCCAGCACTTTATTTTTAAAATGTAAGCAACAGCATTAAACAACAAAGATTCCTTATTCCTTTTATATTATTATAAGCAGCTTTTGAGAGCAGCAATGTACTACAAATCTTTTTTCGTCTACAAGAATATAAGCATTCATTTAGTTTTTATGCGCTGCGTTGAGTATTAGAAATAAATTCCATTTAATACGGTGATTACAAGTAAATTATTTCAAAATAGAATAATTCCATTGTAATTCTGCTACAATGTAATCATAGCGCCTGCTTTGTTTTGATTGCCATATATAAATTTTTGTTAATGATTTCTTTAATTAACGTAAATACAACACATTGCCAAGTAAACATTTAATTAAAAAAGGTTGACGAGAGACCAACCAAAATACATGAAATAGTTGACGATAGACCCATCAAATTACATGAAAAATCTATATGTTACTTATTTTAAAATTTTGAAAGTAAATTAAACAAATATATTTTTAATACTGATTATAATATCTAGTTGCTAGGATTATCGATATGCGACCTAAGTTTAAACCTAAAAATCTGTAAACGGACATTGTCCTTTATTAGTTCTCTGCAACCACAAAATTTACGTTTCTAAGTCGATAATTTTATTGGACTCGATCAGTCGGCTTGCGAGTATGAAACTTAATGTTGATGACATCAAATATTAAATTTAAATCGTAGACCTTAGAGTTTGACATAAATTATGTCAATTTGTTCTAGATAAAAGTTTAATGACATACTGAAACAAATATTGAACATTACTTAATTTAACGTTTGTCTGGCAGTTTGTTAAAAACTGATTCTGTAAGCAAAAAATAAGAAAAGTTAAAAAAAAATTTAATCTAAATTTACCGTAATCTAAATTTACTAAAACTACATTTTTTAAATCGTAATTTACAATAATGCTTACGTTAATACGAAAATCGAAAAAAACGAGAGAAATTCTCTCTATATTCTGAGTAATATGGTTACTAAAAATTACATAGGTATCGCCTACGTGCCATTCGGTAATATATTTTAATACATTTTCATAATCTGCATATTAAGTCTATATTTTCCTATCGCTCTTATTATTTTCATTATTTTTTTCATTAATCTTTATTCATTATCGCTTTATTAAGATTTAACTTTTTTGAAGTTTGAAAGTTCACACACAATGTCATGTCCTTAGTCGGTTCAACGTTGTTGTCAACGTTTTAACCAATAATCTTTTAACTGTCTAATACTAAGATATACATAAAATGGTTACGACGAGCCATGGTAATTAAGGCCCGCTCTTTCCTTTGATTTAAAATGTTTATGTTTTCTAATATGAAATGATACTTAACTAACACTTGCAAGGAATAAAATTCTATAATTAATCATATCGTGGGTAAAGACACATAAAGATAAATGGAATATATTTGTAACTTCTCTATGTAGAAGTACTCCTAAAATAAACTTTGGTGGAATAGAGTAATTGCTAAAAATAAGAGATTCAAAAACTTTTTGTTCTCATTTTCAACTACCCCAAAAGTAATGGAACTTATCCAAAGCACCTGGAGCTTACATAACGCCCTGCTTAGCATAGCGCCCTGCTTAGCGATTTACTCAATCATGTCTCTCGGATATGAAAATTCTGCGTAAGGTTAAACATTAAAAACTTAAAGAGCAACCATAAAGAACGGAAAAAAGCCAGGGGTAAATACTGCCTCTTCACCAGGTTCGTGGGCACGCATAGCAGCAATGTTTTATTTAAAAATAGCTCTTCTGGGCCTCCCACTCGACCGTTCCATCACTCGGCCCTCAAGTACGAAGGATAAATCTTTTGATAACTAACCAGGAACAGTGAATTTTTAAAATATGATTTGACGCCTGTATAAAATTGTTTACTCTAATACTGAAATGCCCTTTGTAATTTTAATATGCTGTTAAACATGTTCCCATCTTTTTTATGGATATTTTTTTTTTAACTTATTCAAACGCTACCTTCTTCAAACAATAGTTTGTTAAATTAATTCTAGTGACAGATTGCCTTGTGATATCAAAATGATTGGTCACTGAATACCTTATGTAGCAAAATCGCATAGATGCTTATGTAAGATTTTGACTCGATACCCTCAGAAATGTGGTATTCAGTTTACTTCACTTTAAGCTACCATTAATCTAAAACTGTGACGGTTTAATTAAATTTTGGTAGTGTGTGAAGATCTAAATCCTTGACTGAAAATAAACACATGATAAAAGATGTTTCTATCTTTATTATTAATATCAATTGTAAATTTTAGTATTATAATTTAGAAAAAAAAAAACTAAAAAGCGACCGTAATTAGCTGTACTAGTATTTTTACTATTCGTGATAAAATTATTGAACTTTTAATTTTTTTTTATTTACCTCACATATGTACATCATACATATAATAAAGGACAATGTATGATTAAAATCATAATAAATATTTCATGTAACTAATTCCTAATGTGTAAAAAATTCGTACGGATAAGTTGATATGTTTTTTTTTTCATTTTTAATGTCTCAAGTTATTAATCTACTGAAATGTAAATTTAAAGTTGAATTGATGACCAATATTCTGTATGTAGGCAAACAAAAAGACAAATAATTTGCATGACAGCTTACAATTAAATAGATACCATAGTAAATATATCTATATCTAAACTAGAGCTTTTCTTTTGAACTTCCGCTTCCTGATATTAAAAAAATTGGAATGATGGGGTATTGTTTATTTTGTATATTTTCATTCACATTGCTCGAAGAACTGACGACCTATGGGGAATAAAAGTTCTCGAATGGCAAGCTCGAACCACATGATGTAACGTTGGAAGGCCTCCCTCTAGGTGGACCGACGACATCTTAAGAGTCGAGGGCAACCGGTGGATGTAAATGGCGGTGTCGTTCGTTGTGGCGTTTAAAGGGGGGCCTATGTTCAACAGTGTACGTCTTACGGCTGATGATCATGATAGTTTTGAACCCCGTTTTTGAGAGATCAATTCGTTATGGGTAATGGAGATGAACAAGTTCTAACCATTTGTTTTTCTACTTTATGGTCTTTGTTAAAGCTAACTACTTCATAATTTTAGATACCTAACGAATATAAACTTTTCAATATCAATTTCGAAATGCCTTTCTCTTATGCCGACATGATATATTTCTGTTTCGTAATATCTTTCAACGCTTTCGAAGTGTTGTAAATCTTATTTAAGATAACGCAGATATATGTTCTTGTTGTTCGGAATAACGCCTCGACTAGTAGGTCTCTCCCTAGGTACACGATTTTAGGGACGTTTCGCCCAAATTTACTATTCAATTACTCTTAGAATTTCTTTTTTTTTTTATAATTATTTTACTAAATTTACTATAGTAAAATTAGTTGTATATGCCATTTAATAAGGTATTGTCGTTATTATAATATCAAAAGTCGTTATAATATCAATGGTTCCTTTGTCATTTAAGAATCTGCCTTATTTTAGAAACAGAAACTTCATCAGCTCTGCAAGATTGTATTCTAGTTACCTAGAGTAAAAGTTGCGTGTGTATGTGTGTGTGTTACTGTTATCGCGATGATTTAACAGAAATAGTATAAGGTTAAAGTAAGCGCAGTACAAGCGTATGTCAATAGTGCCATTAGACTTTCAAGTCACACTGTTTACTTTTAACTATTACTTACACAAAACAAATGTATGGTATGAATATCGCCGAAGTAATTTAAAAATAAATGAAATGAAGGGCAAATAAAGTGCCCGAGTAATCCAATAATGGCTCTTTTATTGATTACTAGGTTTTCATATATGGATAGCTAAGACCCAAACGAAGTTAATCGCTCGCTATTTTCAGTGAGCCCAGAAAGTTCGAGTGGTTTTTAATTTAATTTAAACGTCCACGTAGCTCGAACAGGCACAAATGAATTTCGATTAACCTTAGGGGTTCACGTTTGTGGATTAAATTCTCTTTTGAATAAATTATATTAGAAAGGCGAAGTCTTAAATTATTTTCACATAATCATAATTGTTTGTTCCTGATACTCAGTAATAAATAAAATAACTATGAAATTCTATCGATAACACTTTACGAATAATTTAGCTAAGAATCGAACAAATAAATTCAAGATACATAATTTATGACACCTCTCATTTTTGTCATCTCTAGGACAGGCATTCACAGACAGACTATTGTCATATTTGAAACTTGAATAACATAAAAACATAATATGACAAAAATAATCCTCGATCAGCCTAGATTACAAACTTTATTCGATTATACTCAATATTGTTGATTGATGAAGTTTAATGAAAAAAAAAATTAAAAAGCGACGGGTTTTTATTAATTTTGAAGTAGCTTGTTGGAGGTGAATTATTATTTATCACTGCTTTTCTGTTTTTTCTAAAGATATTAATATTTGTAGCAAGAATCGTGCCCTTAATTTAATTAAATATAGCTACTAATTAGTTATGAATATTATAGTGTAACTTTTTACTACTGATAATTCACAATATATTTTATAGTTTTGATGACTTTAGTGACAATGTATGGGAACATAAAAACAAACAAACTTGCCAAAAGTTTCACTGTAATTGAAATTAATTCGAGTTGAATCGGTACTTATCAGACCTCTCAGTTTTGAATCATCTGCAAAAAATCGTATTACGAAGGCCCAAGAAATCGTTTAACGAATTGTTCAAGGTCCTCTTGCTTGAGTTTCAATCTTACGGAAAAGTAATTCATTACTGAACTGGGAAGGAAAGGTGGAAATGGAGGATAAAATTATACGAATATTTTAAGATATATATACAAATTAATTACTTTTCGATTTTTTTTATGTGAAAAGTTGCCAAGCGAGTACGGCGGTTCACCTGATATTAAATGAACCCATGTACATCTGCTACACCCGAGGCCTGAAGATGCGTTGACAATCTTTTGAAAATTGGGCTTCGGCCACCTCACCCACCAGACGAAACACGAAAGTATTTTACTTCCACTTCACGCCGGCCTTCTGTGAGGTCGTGGTATTTACCCGGACGAGCCTGCCCATTCGTGCAACAGCCGAGGCTACTGCGTGGCCCTACCACCGCAAAGACTGTTCGATAAAGTTCCTCAGAAATTATAACGTCACAATTATTTACTATTAAATATGTCCGTTATCTAAATTGAAGTAAACAAATAGAAAAAAAAAATCTACTCAACTTGAAAGCTCAAACGGGATCATTGAAACTTACATAGATACTTAGATAGTGATTACTTTTATTATTTTAATAAAATTAAACAAGGCTACAACTTTCTTTCTCAGGGCTTGACACATTACACTAAAAAGCAAGGCATCCGAGAAGTGGCCAGCATTTTTGACAAAAAAGCCCGGGAAGGTAATATTCACCTACATTGACACCACAAGGGCATTGGTGGGGTTGACAAATATTTTAGCTCAAAACGATCCAGTGAATCTGCGGACAATTCTGGAACAAGTTCATAAGCCTATATTTGAAACTTTCAAAATGCACCGCATTCCACAGAAGAATAAACTAAACATAGAAAGATGTGAGCAAAAAGCAGACTTCTAGTTTAGTTTGAAGTTTAGGTTGAATACAATCTTTATTCAATAATGTCATCAAACGAAATGTACGACTACATGTAAAGTTTACATTGTAAACTAATGTAACATAATGAACCGCGAGGAATGTAAATTACGTCATGATAGATGACGTACAGATTTCATATTATCTACGAATATCATCTATTTTATCATAACTGCACGTCGCCTAATTTAAAAGTCCTGTTAGTATTTCCTTTCCATTACAAGTAAGATTTACTGAAATTCAATACGGGAAATTCAAAGACATCTGCACTACCATAAGTGTGTCACATAATATGAGTATATATGAAAGTACTATTAGTATTATCCGTTTCAATGCGAGAGAAGAGGGACAAAAAGCGGATTTAAGAGGCAGGGACGATTGTTGCGATAACGTCAAGAGTACGTGGCTGGGAAACAAATGGTTTATTTAAACGTATAAACTATATATGTATATACTTAGATGACATTTAATAAAATAAAATTATATTGTGTAAAATTTTCGACGTTGTAGATAATTTTATATTGTAATAAGAGATATTTCTAAAGAAATAATACTTATTAATAATGCTAAAACTTTGAAATGAAATAAAAACGCACTGTGTATATGACATTGCGACAGTTTTGTTTTTATTTTATTTAAAACGATATTGTGACAAGTACATTTCGTCCAAATCGCCGCCGTGACTATACTGTAGATGTATTCAATTCAATTCAAATATCTTTATGCACTATTAGCATTACACTTACTTATTGATTTTTACCTTATTGATTTCTACCTGTTCGAAAAAGAAAATCCAATGACCTGAGAAGAACTGGTGAAAAAACTAACTAACTAACCTAACCTAACACATTTTTGCGAGATCCATACCATCCATTCTAGGCCATACCCACAACATATGCATCATCTAAGAAATAATGCCTAATGACACAGCCGTTGACAAAAAAATTATAATTGCAAGTCATTGTTAAAGCTGATTGGCGTTCCCAAATTAAATGTCAGGGCTAAGTAAGATTTTGTATCAAATTTGACAGTTGTTGCTGTACCAGGAGATAGGCTATGTCAAAGTTGGAGCGTCGCTAAAAGTCTATATTAAACAATAAAGAAACATCATTATCAGAGAACAAATAAAAACATTCAAAATCAGTTGCTCAGAAGCTTGAGAAGGTTATAAACCTAATTCTTTTTTTCCATTATCCTTAATTTATAGAAATACTAATGTAAGGGCTCTCACAAAGAGAGAGCCATGATATTACATACAAATGTAATATCATTGCTCAAAATTTTAAGTTTGGCAGAATTAAAGATCCATTTCACATCTGCTTTGTAGTTTGGGATCAACCTGAGTAGGCAGAGGAGGCTGCTGCAACTGTACTTATTGATTCTACTCCTTGGAATGATTACAGAAATAAAAATAATACGATAGTGGCAGAATGTACTCAAACTAACAAAATAAATAAAAATAAATCTTTGTAAATGAAACGGGACCATTAACGCTGTAAAGGTTTCGAAACGTCGGGAACTAAAATTAAAAATAAACGCGATAAATCCGTAAAATTAGTTTCATTTATAATGTGTAATCGCGTAAATACAAGAAATTATTAAAAATCTTTGTCATCAAAATATTTTTTTTAAATAATTTATTCCACCATTTTAAAACGGAATAAAAATAACGAAAAAGTAGCGATTTAATTTTGAATCAGATTATTTACTTATGAAAATCATTTGGGAAGTAAAATATCTCGAGGACATATTTGGTGACAATTAATCAAAATCATGTCACCTAATAAAGGTCTGCCCGTCTTAAATAAAGTTGAATTATGAATAATAATAATTTGTTGTATTTTTAAAGCAATATTCTTAGTGAGAAGGATAGAGTACAATAATTGTTGTATGAATATTTAGTATGCTTAATTAATATAAGCATTTTAATGCCAGCTAAACTATTAAGCTTATCCTTAAAACTGGGGCAACGTGAGAGAAAATTTAATTTGATTTCACATTGTAAGCATTCCAGATTCAAAAGTGTCCAATTAATTAACATTCATACTATACAATAGTAAACATTAATTAAAGCGTTAAAGGACTCCGAAAAAGAGATGCGACAACGGTAGCAAAATGTATAATTTAAGATATAATCGAATGTAAAGGATCTATTGATTTTTTCTTTTATAATATTTTTATTAGCCACATATAAAATGTACGTGTATATACAGTATGTTGCTAATTTAAATTATATGGAACGTTAGTACGTTGAACTATAAATTCCTCTGAGCGGTAACAAACAGCGGTTACACTGCAATGTGCTTTCAACTATCGCATTATAGGGCGGATAAGTACTAAGGGATGCGGTTACAGATCAGCCATATACGCTGCGGGGAATAAGTTATTCTCACCCCGCCATCCCTCTCTTGTTTCACTCTGGTTCTAAAATTGTCAGGTAAAGAATATGCAGTGCATGTTTGTACCTACGCGTTCGATTTAACCATATGCAAACCTGAAATGAGCTTTTCAAAGTTTCCGTTTTTAATATGCAGATCGTTGTCTACTACCACACCTTTTTGTAATTATTGGAACTATTCAATGAAGGAAAGATATGACTTGATATGACATGTTATTTGCTAACATATTAAGCCATAGTAAGATTTATAGAAAGTTATTATGCATGGACATTTTTTTTTAAAACCTAGCAAGTTAGTATTCGTAAAAGTACGTGAAATATCATTACATCACTAGGTGCATGAAGTTTACCTATTGAAAACTTGAGGCATATCTACAGATAAATAAAATTAGAGTGTCTGTTTGTAATATAAAAATAACCGCATTTTTACTAAATGCATATGTATATATACACGGTACATACGCCAAAATAACGTTTTTTACAATTTTTATCTGTCTGTCCGTTTGTTCCGGCTAATCGCTGAAACGGCTGGACCGATTTCGACGGACTTTCTCTGGCAGTAAGGAGTAACTTTGGCTACTTTTATTTTAGAAATTTTATTTATTTCAAATTCCACGCGGACGAAGTCGCGGGCACAGTTGGTTTTCAAATATATGTGACGCTCGGCAACCAGTCGGCCGCTGGTCACGATCGCAACGGTAAGGGTGACCACGCCGCCCCAGTCCGTGGGGCGATATAAATAAAAACAATAACAGCGAGCGACGCGGGTCGTCCGTGAGTAAAACGCTTAGCGTTAATTAGGGGGGACACGGGCGCGATGCAAAAGAGTTTCGCGTCGGGCGGCGATTCTTTGACGGGGCGGGGGCGCGGGGCGAGGGGGCGGCGCGGCGGGCCAGTCAGTGCCGCGCCGCGCCCGGCCGCGCTCCCCTCACGCGCGCCTTACGTAACCATGGCCGGGCCCACGAGCTGATGGGTAGCCTCCTCTGGCTGCTGGCCGCCTGGTGGCTGGTGCGCGCCGCCGCCGCCGGCAACCCCGACGCCAAGCGGCTGTACGACGACCTCCTCTCGAACTACAACAAGCTGGTGCGGCCCGTCGTCAACACCACCGACGTGCTGCGCGTCTGCATCAAGCTCAAGCTCAGCCAGCTCATCGACGTCGTAAGTCATCGTGGCTTGGCACTCGCTGGCCGTTTGGAATTTTATGAGAACGACGGCCCGCTACGCCACGACCCCGTTTCCCGTGGCACCTCGTGTAATTCTTGAGGAGTTGGGAACGGGGGTGTCGCAGCCACTCGACTCCCTTACCCCTTTTCTAGACCAGACGCCGCACTGTCTCCTCTTAATTGAGAGTGACACCGCTGAAGGGCAAAACAAAGTGTTACGGAACGCTACAAAAGGCCTCGTTGAAAATGTGTTACTCATTTTCTTATTTATTGTACTTTTATTCCAAATAAGATTCTTATCATTATCAATCAAATGATTTACACGCTCGTGAGGTTGCAATATTTGAAGAAAGTAATTAATTACAGTATTGTAGGAGGCATTTATTTATTTTGAAATTACAAGTTAACTTTACATTAATAAGTATTTAATATAACAAAATAATGATATTCCATTGCTTTTTTCATTCATATTGTTATGAGTTTATTTTTTTGGTTAATTTATATATTATTGTCCATCGATTCTATATTTCTTATGTGGATTTTGTTCAGTTTTTCATTATAGTTCCGCCACTAATCTAAATAATTTTATAAATGAAACACTAAACTAAACTAAATTTTATTAAATTAATTGATTTTTATAAATATTACATGAAAAAGATTAGAATTTTTTAAAAAACTCTAGTTTAAAATTCCACGTGATCCAAGCGATTACCTTAGTAATATAATAATAATAATAATAGTATAACTTGTAATTATGAATTATAAAAAAACAGCGATTTTTCCTAGATATATGCCGTATAAAACATGATTCATTATTTATCAATCACATATCCATAACAGGCATGTTTATGAAATGCTAAAAATTATTCATCATTCATCATTCCAACCTGTATGAGTCCACTGCATTCACCACAAAAAAAATCCCAATAATCCATACTTAAAATCAAAAGAGAAAGAAAAGAGAAATTTCAATGACCTAAAATAAATCAAGATGATTAAAATTTTACTATCCTGTCTCCGTCCTGTAATAAATAGATTGTCAAGCGATATTCGTGAGCTCATTATAGACGATTTAAGAAGTAGTAGTGTAGCTATTTTGACTATAAAAGAAGAAGATTGATTTCGAATGTCATTTACAAGATTTAAGAATCGCTCCGAAATAAATCCAAAGTCCCTGTCTAATATTTATCTTCGATCTATTCGTATGCAAAAATTCCTTTCACATAAATAATTTTAACGATATCACATATCGTCCATGCCAAACTGCAAGGTATTCGCAACGCATTTGGTTGTCAATGCGGTATAAAGTTTATAGTCGGTGAGTGAGATGGAATGGTCCATATCAAAATTCAGGCATCATTTGATCAACTTTATTCGGCTTAAATAAAAACATATAAAATAAAAATTGTTTTATAGCTGAAGCTTAGCGAGCTAAATTATTTCGTATTACATAGAGTGGTAAGCCAATAAGGATACTGTGGATAAATACGTTTATCCGACAGACACGCTTACAACATTTGCGACGTTATTTATAATACATTTCAAAGTAATGAGAATAAAGAGTCGAATTTTATTATGATATTATAAAGAAACCCAGAGAATATTTTTTTATTTCTCTGACATTTGCTATAGAGACTATAAACCGTAGGAGTTCAATAGAAAATGTTAAGTAAGATAATGTTAATAGGTATGTACTGATTTCTATTGACGTACAGTATTTCACTTACGACTTAGGTACCTGAAAAATAGATTAATTCTTGAAATTAAAAATATGTCGAGACTTATTTATTTAAATCTGTCAAATTAAATATTAAATTATTAATAATAGAAGAAAACAATACATTAACGTTACTCGTGTTAAATTTTTATAAGATTAGGAGTGCACAAATCTCCTAATGATTTAAATGATATTTTATTCTTTTAAGTTTAAAAGAAGTATCCGTTAACTATAAATTCTACGATTCTAGTACCTCCAATATTAGTATGCAAAAAAAATCTTGACATCAGATATGACGTTGAAAATAATACACTTACGTCATAAAATATGCATAAAGTGGTCGCCGTGATCTCTCGCAGCACGGATTAACACACGCTGAGCAATATCGCTTACTGACGAAAACGCGCAGAGAAATGAAAAACGATTCCGGTCGGAGCTCTTCTGCATTTTAAAAGTTTCAGTCAATATTTTTTATCAAAACGAAGTCAATTTTTTTATCCAATTAACGGTTTTTGCAAGCACTTAAAACTTCGCGCACATAAGCCAGTCAAACTTCTAATATAATCATCAATTAGACTTTTGTGAAATTCGGCAAAAACGAATATATTTTTTTATCTGCTAGCAATCTGAAAATATTCTATCTTTAACTTTTAGATGAAATTAATTTATTTATCCAACGAACACATTCGAGTGCGCCTTCTGCATATAGAGGATATAGTGATATTATAGCGTATATTCCCGTGCTTGTTATTACAGGTGACAATGGGAAATATAGAAAAATTCTTGCAGAACTCCGCAGGGAATGTCCTCACGAACATGCTGAATTTATTCTTATGACAGATCGTCTGACAACAGCGGAATGCTGTTATGTAATAACTATCTTTAATCTGCGCTAGCAAAGAATACATAGGACGAGAAACAAAACAGTTCAAAAAATAAATCTACGTGCTAATGCATCATATAAGCCTAAGGAAGTAGTAAAAATAAAATAAACGGTAAAATATGAATAGGGAGAAGGGATCAAACACGCTCACACAGCAGAATATGTAATGCATGCAGGCAGACGCTACAGCCTGCATGCATAACATATTCCTTAATAACTAATCTAATAAATAAAAAATCAATAACCAATCTCCGTGGGACAGCCATGGTCATGTATAAAATCTCAAATTGAATACTAATAGGAGATAATAATTAACAGCTACATTTTATTCATACAATTAAATGTGGATATTTTATTTAAATTGGGTTCTCATCATATGTACAACATACAAAAGACATCATGTTATTGGTGCCCCGGATATAACTGCTGCCAAAATTTCAAACTAGGATGTGATGTACGAACTGTAAACTTATATGACGTATGTAGGCATCTATGGACTTACGTGACAATGGATGTTCGTAGTTTATAACTTAAGTGTCGCGAACAGGTTCAATCTTTGCCTAACATACACAAACGAAATTTGAATAGGTGGATCAAATAAATAACTTTGCTTGTCAGTATAATTGACTTACTTCAAATTAACTTTATCTTAAATAACTTACTTCGTGTAAGTCTATGGGGGAGGCCTATGTTTAGCAGTGGACTCAAACAGGCTGAAATGATGATGATGATGAAATTAACTTTGTTTGCATATAGGTACCTACAGCATGTCGTTACAACCGCGACAATAAATGAACACACGCCTAACACTATTTGCCAATGATCATAAAATATAAACGTTAAAAAAATTCATTAATAAATTAAAATATTTTGCAAAAAATCTAATTAAGTAAAAAAAAAGAAACAAAAGTTTGTAACACCCTATACAACTACAACTGACTGATTCATACATTCACAGACTTTTTCATTCGTTATATCACAGCGTCGCATTACAAGTCTCTCCTCTAACAGTAGTTTTATGTCTTTTAAATTCATCCAATCCATTCATATGAGTTGTGACCTTTACAAATGAACTTTATGTTACAGTTTTATACGTAAGGGTTTTCTAAAATGGTTTGATTTAGAAAATTTAATAACTCGGTAAATATTGATGTTTAAAGAATGTAAATGTTTAATACAATTTTAAAAAGTTATCCTCTATACAGCGAGTCTTTTTGCAAAGTACCCAAATTTTTACAGGAGGTTCAGACTCGGTAGTATAATCGTTTATTGAAAAGAACGTGTTGACAATGCTGTACTCATTCATAAATACCTAAATTTTACTGTGCACGAACTTGTGTGCGTGTTAGTTATGAATGATCACGCGTAAAATAAATGAGTTGCGTATAAATCACGCACTTTTTGAAGTAAGTTTAAATTAATGTTATTAATTACTTACGAGTGATAGTTAGATACTAAAATGAACCTCGAAACAGAATGTAATGATCACGCTTTCACAGTGAATGAAAATGTATGTTTAATTGTGGCTTATATTACTGATTATAATTTTGTTTTAATTATTAATTTGTCGATTATTACTATGGGCTTTTGCCTGAAATAAAGAATTATAATATATTATTATTATTATTTTAGCCTTATATTAGATAATTTATTATTCTCAAATGAATATGACTATACGCCACTTCTTCATTGCAAAATGTCTCTAATTGGGAACCTTTTAAAAAAAAGACTCATATGTGCAAATTTTTTAAAGAGTTGCAACGTCTGAAAAACAAGGGTGTCATGGTAAGTGACACTGGCCACTCATTGTTACTCGAATACCATACACGTCACAGGTTTGACAGAATGAGCCTTGTGTCATCCCAATCACCGGACGACAGGCAAACATGTTTACGTGTACAAAATCCAAACTTTTTATCTCAAGTTATAAGAATCTGAAAGCAAATTATAACATTTTCAATAATAATATTGTATCTTATTTATTTCATTTCTTAATAATATCGCTTTTTCATTTAGCTGTTAACCAGAAGATTATTTGAATTCGGTAATGAGCAATTCTAATTAAACATTTCATATATATAGAAGTTCTTGATTATCACATAATATTTTACATAGGAGTATACTCTTCGCATACATGATACGAATACATAGAATACATAGATGTTCCGAACATTCCAAAAAAACAGCTTATTTATATAGAAGAAAATTATGATACGCCATTTACGGAAGATCCGGTTATAGTAGTGAACAAAAAAAATACATTATTACGAATTCAAAACTACTCATTCAAATCAAATCAAAATATATTTATTCACATAGACGCTTCCGCGTTTTTATGTAACGTCAAAATTTCATATAAAAATTTATACGTTCGTCAGTTTTCTTTTGTCTGTTT